GAACTGATCTGCCTTTGCTCATTAGGTACTCTATGTAGATGTTCAATACGTTCCCTTATCTTTGCTTAGATATTAGCTCAGCTTTCTGTAAGAGGCCTATATACAGATATGAACCCAATGTGTCTTCATGGCCCTCACCAACAGATAAAAGCCCTCATCAAAGTCACACTAATTCTTTTTTCTTACAAACCCATTGCTTTTCCAAGGCACACACACAGATCCAGTGTGTCATGTGCTCAGCATCTTCTCACACAGTAATTTCTGTTCATAACCTGAAGTCTGAGGGTTGGTCTCATATTTTTTTCCCTACCAGCCAGAATGGGAATACCAAAGCAGAGAATAGCTACGAAGAAAAACGTCTGCACACTTTACCTGTATTTTTCCCATATTCAAGGCTTTTAAGCAAATCCCCACCTTACTGATACGTGCACAATAATACAATGTGTTTCACATAACTTTAAGCACTTGCAGCTGGAACAAAAACACATACACTTATAATACTCTGCAGTTCCCAATGCCTCTCAGCAGTGGGGCCTTCTCAGCAGAAGGACAGGGGTAAAATAGAGGGTGAAAAGAGTCCTCTGCAGCTTTCCCAAATGTGCTCTCAGCATCTCTGCAGGGTGAAAAGGATAGAGGGTGAAAAGAGTCCTCTGCAGCTTTCCCAAATGTGCTCTCAGCATCTCTGCAGGGAACGTCAAGGAAGCAGGGAAGTGGCTGTGGGTCGCTCCCCCCTTCGAACGTCCTCTCTTGCACTCCTTGAGGGCAGGGACACTGCCAGGTTGTGCAGGGAACAGTCATGGATTTTCCCTCAGTTGCCTTTTAATGAACTTCTGAGAAAAGCCAGTCCTAGGTCAGGACTTTGGATCGGTTGAGCAAAACTTAATCACACTGGCACTGCAGAAAGGGGAATTACATGCAAAGGGCAAATAGTAGAACCATATTTTTGTCTGACGTGTTTATGCAGCTTTTAACAACTTCTGCTCCCAGCTGCCCCATGACTGAATTTGTTGGCCTGGACAGCCTACGCCTAGAGATATTTTTCAGAGTATTCCTGTCCTTGTTAACTACCACAGGTTTGCAGAGCTCAGAGCTGTAACGTACAGCTGATCCACTGGTTAAAGCGTTTCAAGATTTTGCCATGTGTCTGGCCTCAGTGTTTAACTTAAATCTTCAACTCTGGCAAAGAAGCTAATTTGTTGCTTACATTTTAAGCATGTATGTGCTTATAGTGAGTTCAAGCCTTTGTATACACCCACCTACATCTATAAGGTAACTGAGACACCTAAGTACTTCGCTAAGCTGAGGTCAGCATGCTTAAAACATACATGGCTGCCATCAAGGGAGACTTCCATTGTTAGTAATATTGTAGTGAAATCAATAGTAGAATAAGACAGACTTGCAAAGATTTGCTACAAAAGAGCAGTTAGTGTGTTCACAAGAAAAGCTATTAATATTAGACTGTAGACTTGTTTACTAAACAAACCTGTGACTCATTGTACTCAATACCAGAAATTACACATACTGTGAACAACAAATGTTATACTTTTTAAACAAACCAATAAAGCCAACATTTAATTGCTTGGCAGATATTGCAGAGTAAATATAAATCCCATAGAACTTTCACAACTTTTGTTTCACAGTTTAAACACACCTGAGAGACTGGTAGTTTTCTCTGTGTTTCTTAATCATATGCTAACAGGTTTGTAGACAAAACTACTCCTGATTTGTTTGGCAAGATACGTCTTCTACCCTGTGCTAATCAATTCCTTAAGCACAACACCTCTTTATTTTATAAGAACAAAGCTTCATAAATCGGGGTAATAGGGCATAACAGGTTTCTACTTAAATAAAAAAAAAAAAAAAAAGGGAGTGGACTGATTCTCACAGTGAATCATCGAGGACACCATTTTTATCACCTCCAGGAGAACTGATGCTTTCAAGCATGAGTCCTTCAGTCAGTATGTTCCCTCCACGTCTGCATGCCTGTGCTGGCATGTTTTGCAGCAGAGCTGCAAGGCAGCACAGCAGGAGTCCAGACCTGCAGTTGTTGGTCTCCAGTGGCCACCACCAAAAGGCCTTTCCAGCTCCCAGTTGCCTCTTTATGCATCCTGCTAATCTAATGGTATCTGAAACAGGAGCGTGTCCCTGAGCTGGGCTTGGCTTTGGGCATAAACTGGAGTGGGCAGAAGTGAGGGTAGGGCATCTCACTGGGAGACTAAGAACAGCAACTTAGGAAGGACAGACGACCACTAACAACATACCATCAGTCTAGTCGGGGAAAAGAAATAATTGGCTGGGTGTAACACTCAGCACAAGGGTACACACTTGCAGAAATTCTGGGGCATAACGTGTACCCAGTGCTGCCCTGCGTTCCCGGGCTGGGAAAGGGTGTGTCTTTGCACCTTGTAGGCTCCTCTCTGCAGAGGAGATGGGTATCTCCGCAGGGAAATTCTTCTGCTAACATGAGGCTGACTATGAATCACTGCAAGCCTCTAGTGACTTTCTAACCAGTGGGAATGACTTGCCACCAATGCTCTTAGACCAGTCAGGCCACGTATCTTGGCCTTTGATATGAAGAAAGGTAGGGAAGTTCCCAGTTATTCATCTATCTCCTCCTTTATCACTTTACAATCTCAACATGGAGGAACTCAAAATTTAATCTAAATTAATTAAATCAGTAACTGTATAGAAAATCACATAAACAGAATTAAACATGTTCAGATGCTTTTGTCCTTAGTTTGGAACAAAGATTAACTTGATTAAGAGCAGTACAATTCAAAGTGAACATTGTCTACACAACATTCATGTGAATTATCCAGCCCACAATAAATTCCTAGATTTATTTTGGAATGAGTTTCCTGTGTGCCTGTAGTGGACAAACCCCAGGGGACAGTCATTCCACAAGCTCTTTTGGGATGCTGACTAATCATCCACAGCAAATACTGTGTTCAGTGATAAACATCTCTTTGAGATAAAGCTCTGTAGCTGCCAGATTCAGAGAGTGTCAGAAGGGGAATCCAAAATCTGTAGTCTACAGGAGGGAAATGTTGAACTGATTTTTCACAGCTGCTGTCCCAGACAGCTTGAAGCCGTAGCTACAAGTACTCTAGGATGAATACAAGAGGTACAACCCACTGTAAAATCTGTAAAAATTCAAATTCTCTTGCTTGACCATGATTCATTTGATTGTCACCGTGAGTTGGCTCATGACACATTATCACAGAGGACTTTCGCTCCCTGCAGGCACTAGTGGGAGGGAAGTGTGTCAAATGGGTTTGTAACAATTAATTGATTTTAAGTATTTCTAAGATTCTTGACCTTGAACTGTTTTTTTCCTAGTCTGATATACTTTCAGGCTTAATTTCTCCATCATCTTCGAGATTATTGGATATTTTCAGTTTGTGTTTTTGGTTTTTCCCTGTTTGGATTGAGGTGGGTTTTTCAGTTGTTTGCATTGGTTTTTTCGTATCTGTCCTTTTTAGAATCTACCATATCCTAAAATAGAAGCAACTGAGAGTTTGTTGCATGGTAATTATACTATAATTATAGGTCTGATTTTTAACTCAGTGGAGAGTTTTGAGAAAGCAAGTTTTAACCTCTCACCTAAGAAAATCAACAGGAGATGCAATTTGCCTTTGAACTGAAGTTATTAACTTTAAAGCCTGAAGTTGGTGGTACACACTTTTCCAAACACAGGTAACATCCAACTGCTGAACACTAAATAGAAATTTCCTGTTTCTTCATACATAAAGACCTTGGCTTTGTTTACACTCCCACCTCTTCTAAATGTGGACACAGTAATGAAAAAACCCTCTGTTGAGAAAAGTTACCATGTGGAAAAAGGCATTTGAAAAAATAGATCGTGCCTTGAGAACTTAATCTATCTGAATACAGAAATGTCTTGAAATGATTTGAAATTATCTGATTTGATTAAAAATTAAACAGTAGTGTAAATAGCATAAGGAAGGGAAAGATTGCAATGAAATTCAGTTTTTGGTTCATGGTTTGCATGTCAGCTGGTGTAAGAGAGAGACTGAGCTGGCTACAAGAAACAAAGTTCTCATCTATCGAGATCTTTGAAAAGCCAAAGCCTTTGTATTTATCTACACTACCTGTCATTATTGTGCTCTTGTTGCTGTCAATATTCGCTGATACGTACATCAGTGGAAACAGAGAAGAAAAGTGTCTAAACACGAACCATTCCTGGAAACAAACAAACAAATGTGTAGACTTTTAGGGGTAGAATACATTCTAAATTACATGCCATGAGTATACATTATGCAATTGTATCAGTTCCAGTTTTCACAATCTACTGTGAAATGTACAAGAACATGATCTTATTCACCACAGACTTAAAATAGAGTTCTGTCAAGGGTGCAGAGGAATGTTCTTTTTCAGAGTGGGAAATTAGCAGACATCAAAATACATGACTTTTCATCAGAGGAAAAAAAGGAGAGGTAACTTGCTGATTAAACAGAAAATAAGGTCTTTGCCATGTAGTTCCAAAAAGTTATTACTGCTGTTCAACTTACAAAATGAATGGACCTTTAGCTTTAAGCAAGTTGTGCAATTTAGGGTTCACTGTATAAAAGAATGCCACATGTAATAAATTGGAGTTCCAGAAATGGGTTGCTTTCAGCAGTCATTCATTAACTCATTTCCTTGAGAAGTGAAAGGAGTTACTTCTGTTTGTGAAGAAAATAGAAAGAAATAGAAGGAAATAGAAGAAATAGAAGAATAGAAGATAAGATAGAAGAAATACAGAAGAAAATCCAGACTAGTTAAATTTCATGCACTGTCTTAAAAAGAGGGGAGAGGAATTATAAAATAAGCTCTAGGTTATGCCAAAGCATGAGAAATTTGCTAAGATTAATCAACATGTGAAAAAAAAAAAGATAGACACATGCTGAAATAAAAAATGAAGAAAATAAAAGTATATGTAAAAATGCATTCAATTTTACAATCTTTATTCAAAGTTAAGTAATTCCTTTTCTGCAGAAACAAGTTGTGACAAACAGACAATGAAAAAAGTTATCTTTCTTTACTTTCAGATTGCATGTGATAAGTTTTGTGGGGCAATAATTCCCTTATGCTCACTGCAAAACAAACTTAGACATGCGTATAATGCTAGACAACACATGGAGAGTATTGCACTTGGCATCTGAGCCTTAGTTCCTAGACCCATTACCCACTACTTATATTACAAAATAAAGTTGGATGCAGTCTGAACATAGACAATACAGGTTAACATGAAACTTCTATAAATCAAATGAAAATTTACTCACATTTAACGTATATTACTGAAATTACCATTCTACAGAGTGTAAAAGATACACAAATACCATAAATTTTCTAATGATTATGCTTTTATTTAGTTTAACTCTTCAGTGAATAGAAGCATTACTATTAAAAATGTTTTGGCCACTGTCAAGGTCCAGCCTCAGGTCAAAACAATATTCTTGGAATCAGCAGAAAGACATTTTCATCCCACTCACCACACAAAACCCCACTCATAATTTGATAGAGAAAAAAAAAACTAAAAATGAACTTTGATACAAACGTTACAAGATAAAAATCATATAGCCAATAAAAAAAAGATGAACACTACTCTTCTTTCTAGGGTGAATGCCAAGTAAAACCTTGAAAGTTCTTGAAATCTGAGGGTTTAGTCAAAATTTATGACCTAAATTAATGCTGCTAAAAGAATGGCTCATATGAATGAGCCTAGTTCTTGGATAGCCCTTAATAATAGAGACCTTCCTCACCAAGGCCATCTATTTCCTCTCTTCTGATGAATTCTTAGTTATTTGCATGATTTCCATCCTGATGATTTTGAAGGCGCACAGAACTTTTATAGTACAGTCAATCACAGAAAGGAAATGAAATAAACCATACTGCCTGATTTCTGTACATCTTTGACAATTTGGAGGATTAATTGGACTGTAAACATTGCCTACATACCAAATGGGGTGTTTTCTGATGATCAGAAGATGCAAATGATAGGAAGAGAGTGAGTAGCTTTGTGAAATGAAATCTCCTGTAAGAACAGGGAATGTAGACCACCAAGTGTTTGATATGAAATATGAACACCACTTTGTTAATAACATTTGAATACTGAAATGTGTTTCAATATTGAAATGGGTGACCTAGAGAAGAACCCTAATATTGAGCAGTGGAATCAGCCTTCTCAGAAACAGATCTTTAAAGGTATTTAATAAACGTATAGATTTTTATTACTTTTAAGTAATAAAAACATTTTCATTTCTTTTAGAGATATCTACATGAAAAATAAAAGTAACAGATAATTTACATGGGCTAAATCCAGATTTCCCTAGTCTCTTAGGCAATCCTGACTCAAGTGGAATCAGAGATAGTATCCGGGGGTCAGCTTTGCCTCCTGCAAGTTTATCCATGTGCCAGGAAAACAGGATTTGGTCCCAAGTGTAACTTGCACTGACATCTGTGGGAGTCTAGTGATTGGAAGGGCTGCAGATGCAAACCTTTGTCTGTGAAGAGTTTCCACTATGAGATATGCAGGAATACTGAAGAGTACAGATGTGAACCTGTAATTAATCTGTTCCAGCTTAACGGCAGCCATCATTTCCTTCACCTTGCAATCATTTTGAATTTAATACATGTTTATACCATCACCTTCTTTTAAAAGGCATCTGATAGTGTTTATTTCTCTTTGTACAGAAATATATACTATAGGTTCTAATCCACTAATAGATAGCATTAACCACTTTGTTTAAACAAAACAATCTTTGTAAACCAAAACTAATAGTTTCACTGAAACTAGATCCTCGTCTGTAGCCATTGACTCCAGTAGGCTTTGGATCAGGCCCTAAAACAGGCATGGGTCAGAGCTGGCTAATATATCAGTCCCGCATCCAGGAACATTAGAGGACACAGAGACTGAAGTTGCACAGATTTTGCAAATATTTGTTACAAAACAGATATGAAGATTTTTAGATCAAGTATATGATTTATATATATAGGGAACGTACATAATTGTTTGTTTGTGACTGTGTTGATGTACCTTTAGTTTCTAAGTCATCTTTTGTAAGTATATTCATATGTACATTTTGACCATCTGTTCCAGAGTACTAAAAAATGCAGAGGAAAAGTGATATTAAAAAGTAAATTGTTAGCTTAAAATAGCCTGATGTAATTTTTTATGCCAGCGTGGTAGCTCATTTTGTTGTTTGTTGTTTTTTTTTCTAGTGCCGTGCATGATAACAGCATTACAATTTAAGAATTTATGGCAAGTCATTAGTAACTAGCTAAAATTGAGATTTCAAAATCCTCATTAGTGTCATGGAAATGAATATGAAATGGAATCCATAGATTTATTTGTTGCTTAGTTTGGAATAAAAAAATAAAAGGCCCAAAATTGCTGAATGCATTATTTTACAAACAAATGGTTTGGCTGCTGGGCATTGAAAGAACCTCACAATTTTCGATATATCATCAAAAGAGTACTGTCTTTGTGTGTGATACTGAGTTCTTTGTGTGTGAACTTTTCCTGCATGTAAAGGGCAGGTAAAGGGTTCATGTAATGGTCCAGCGTGTGAGGTTTATTTTGAGTGCCTAAACAGGATGTAAATGGTGAAATTGAATTCTGATAATCCTCTGGTTTAAAGTTTCTCTACTGGAGTCTCTGATTCACAAATACTCCTCTTTTGCTCTGAATCCTCTCTATTAGAAATTAAAGGGAAAAAAAAAAAAGGCAATCTATGCCTGGAACAGAAAACAACTCTGCAAGTGAGTAAAGGATTGATGTAACTTTCCCTGAGATAACACCAGGGACTGGGTTCTTAAAGAACATCAAACAGGAACCAGGACAAGGAAAGAGGGAAATAGGACAAGAAAGAAGAGTTAGAGAGAAGTTTCTGCGTATCTCAGATACATAGAAGATAGGAAATAACACTACTTGTTTCTGATGAAAAAGTGTTCAGTCACACAGGTGAGATGGGGAACCTCTAACCTCAGCAGCTAAAGCAACATTCATGAAAAGTTATCTTTTTAAATTTAGATTAGCCCACCAAATAAAACGATGCAAATACATTCCTAAATACAAATACATAGGATTGTGTGTATGAACAAAGTAGTATACATCTCATTGTATATACCTAATTTCACAAAAATAGTCTTACACATGATAATTTTTAATCCTCAGTACTGATGAGAAAATGAAAAGTATTTGTGATGCTATTTCTTTAAGATGGGGGGCTTTAATATTAAAGTTGGTTTTTTTTAATATTTCTAGTTAACCTTACCACTATCTATAGTCTTCCCAACACAAGATCCATTTTTTTAAACAGATGATTATACTACTGCAACGTGCAAACAAATATCACATAATCAGCTGAGAAGAAACAAGTGCTCTTGCATTTCCTGCCAGTAAAACTAAGTTTGTAGTGTCGGAGGTGCTAATAGAAATCTGCAGCCATGGGCCCTTTTTGTTTTTCTTGGTTCTTGTAAGTTACGTTTTTAAAAGTGGTTGTTGAGCCTCTGTACAGTGGATTTGTTTCCTAAAAAACAAAAAGAGAAGAAATGGAATCAGCAACATTTAACTCGCCTGGCCAATGTTTCAGCTGCAGGCAGATGTAGCTGCAAACCACGGCCTTGAGTGCACCCCTTCAGCAAAGGGATCATTTTGATCCATCATTCCTGACCCAGTGTTTTGATGCATGTCATATGTGCACCAGCTAGTACCACTCTGCTTCCCAGTGTGCAGAAGATTATTTGTGCTCTGCTTTGTGAGAACTTCAGGCCAGACCTCTGCCTGGCCCAGCAATTCATTCCCAACAGCGGGCAATGAAGGCTGTCTGTGGAAAAGCTGACAGACATCTCACAAACCTCCAGGGTCAGAGAGGATGTCCTCCTCCTATGGGCTTGTCTATAAACACTTTGAATCCATGCAAACATTTATCATCTAAAGTATCTTTGGAAATAAATCCTATGCTTTAACCAAGTATTGTGCAATGATGGTTTCTAGCTTCTTTGGAGCCTGCTATCTCACTGTGCTTGTATGGGAAAAGGCAGTGAACAAACGTCCTATTTTCAGTTTCTCCAGTCAATTTTAAAGTCCAATAACACATAGCCCTCCCACTATTTCTTTTCTTTTTTTTTTTCTTCTGGTCTATTCTTTGTACATAAGTAACTTTGTACCTTTCAGAATACCGTTCAGCAGTCAGGTTATATTCCAAGCCACTGAAATTGAGACTGGTCTATATGAGGCAGCACAAACCAGTCTAGGGCCAGGAACATGCTTCCCTTCGCATCTGCCTCCCAGATGAGAATAATGCACACCATCAAACAGTACTTTATCAAACATGTCTGATATAATTTGTGTATCACATGTTGTGGTTGGACCATTCTAAAAAAACAGACAGTGTCTCAAGTGGTGAGGTGTAACTGGTCATGGTCCTCTTGCTTGAGCCCCACAGACTACTATGCCTCAGGAGAAGTGCGGGTCCCACCTGCACTTATTATCCTGGCCTCTCCTCATTCCCTTCCTATCATTCCCTCAAGCAACAGAAAAGAAAATTAAAATGCCTCTATCAAGCTTATCCTTCCCTCTTACCATATGTTGCTCTCCGAAAGAGAAAACATTCTCAAGTGGCCTTGCCTGTAAATAACTGATTTTTCCCATCTCAAAAGCTGAAAGGCCAGCAGTGTCCACCCTTGCAGAAATGTTGCAATCACAGGGCTTTACACAAGAGCTGGGGGATGGCAGCCTGTCCTCCTGAGGCCCACCAGAAACGCTTACTCAATGTGCTTTTTTACAAAGAGCCTCAGAATTCTTAAAGCTTTTGCAGAAGAGCAAAAATGTCAAGGGCAGAAAGGAAAGACGAAAAGGGAACGTGTGGTATGAGCTTGCATTAGATGTATGCAAGCTATAGATAGAAGGCCTGAATTCCTCTGTCCTTTCACCTACATTTTCGACAGCTTACATTATTGCTCCTCTGTGTAAGTGGGCTCTCATCATCACAGAGAGCATCATAGTCTCTCTTTCCTAAAATGGGCTCTGTTTCTGGGAAGGGGAATACACCCCTGACAATTACATGGACAGCAAACAACTTTGCTAAGATTAATCAAAAGTGAGGTACAGATTAAAAAACAACTAATAAAAAAATGTTATCTAAATGATTCTACATGTACAAAAATTTAAACCAGGTGACTGAACTCTAGCTATTTTTCATCCCTAAAAAATTGTAATTCTACTTTGTAGATTACTAAATATAGTGAAAATCTACTAGTGAAAATCTACCAGTAAAAATCTACCAATTTAAAAGCACAAAACCAAGACAAATAGAATTTTAAAGGCAATTGTGCATCGTGCAACCACATTAAAGAGCCTCATATAAAATTAATGTATTTAACATACCGTTTGCCATTTCACTTTTGATTTTTCTGCTTCAAACTTGGCCACCTCTTTTCTGTCTTGAACTGACACCAGCAATTTCCATATACAAAGTAGAACAACGCCAATGAGAAGGATAGCAAGGGTGACACCCACCATTATCATCGGGATATTTGGAAGCTGTGGGCAATCTGTGGAAACAAAACCCAATTATGACTATGGATATGCAATCAGTAAACTTTAGGCAATTAAAAACAGCCAAGAGGCACGTTGGGCTTCTCATATGCTGGGAGCTGTGCATGCTTTTTCCTTCAAGTCCATATTATTTTCCTCCTGCTAACCTGCTGTTGTGGTTTAACCCCAGACGGCAGCTAGAACCACGCAGCCACTTTCTCACCCCCCTGAGTTGGGATCAGGGAGAGAATTGGAAGAGTAAAAGTGAGAAAAAGCTCATGGGTTGAGATAAAGACAGTTGAATAGGTAGAGCAAAACCTGCACACAAGCAAAGCAAAACAAATAATTAATTTACTGCTTCCCATCGTCAGGCAGGGGTTCAGCCATCCCCAGGAAAGCAGGGCTCCATCACACGTAACAGTTAATTGGGGAGACAAAATCCATCACTCCAAATGTCCCCCCCTTTCCTTCTTCTTTCCTCAGCTTTATATACTGAGCACGATGTCATATGGTATGCAATATCCCTCTGGTCAGGGGCAGGTGTCCCAGCTCTGTCCCCTCCCAGCTTCTCGTGCACCCCCAGCCCACTCTCTGGTGGGGTGGTGCGAGGAGCAGAAAAGCCCTTGAGAGCTTAGCAAGGACTAAAAACCTCAGTGCGCTATCAAAAGTATTTCTCATCACAAATCCAAAATATAGCACCAGTAAAAAAGTTAACTTTGTCCCAAACGAAACCATGACACCCACTGAAGGGTCTGTGAAACTGGCGGAAAAAATAGTGCATTAAAATGTTTAAAAAAATCAATTGCTAACTTCTTCCGCTGCTCTTTTCCCATTTTATTTAGCAGCTGCTGGACCCAGATTCTGAGAAGTTAGAAAATTATTTTCAGATTTGTGTCAGAATTCCAAAACATAAGACTGAATTGAAAAGATTATAAGTTTTACAATGTTACAGCGGAAGCTCTACTTCAACCCACTGGTATTCAGTGAGCTGCAGAAGAAAAGACTGTAGTTTGCTCTGATACTCTGTATCAGAGTAAAAACACTGATAATACTGAAAAAAAGGAGTAAACTGCATTTCAGTCATGAAAACACTGAGGAAAAAAAAAGCAAACATTAGATTTGCTGAAAAGATAGGACTGAACAATTTGAAGGAATTTCGCATTTCAAGTTCTGCAATAGATGAAGTATAGCCCATGAAGGACACTGAACACTACTATTTTACAAAGTTTTCTGCTGAACCATGGTTTAAGGACATTGAAAATCCTTTTTGGTCTCGTTTGGTTTACATGGATTGTGTTTCACATTACTTTTTTGCTTGATACCATCATTTAACTAATTGATGGGGTTTGGTTTTAGCAATGAGTTAATGCTCTGGCTACTCATCCCATCTTGACTTCAGATCACAGAATCACAGAATGATATGGGGTTGGAAGGGGCCTCTGGAGATCATTGTGCCCAACCCCCCTGCCAAAGCAGGTCCACCTAGAGCAGGTTGCACAGGAACATGTCCAGGCTGCTTTTGAATGTCTCTGGAGACACCCACCACCTCTCTGGGCAGCTTGTTCCAGTGCTCTGCCACCCTCAAAGTAAAGAAGTTAAAGAACTGTACCCTGCTTATGATTTAAAATGCAGAATAAATGTATTTAATGTATTTAATAAAGAGAATCTTTTTTAGTGGTTTACCCTTAAATTCTTGCATTCTTATGGTAGAAGGTGGGGTTTTTTTTGTGCAGTGAAATAACTTTCATTCTCACATGTATGCTAAAGAAATGCTACACAAAGGGTTAACAAAATAAATGCCATTTGTGCCAACAGAAGGAGGTTGCAAATCTGCATGGTTTTCCCTAAAACATAACTAATATTTAGCACCAAGACACTGGGTGTGTCCAAGGGGAAAAGAAAAAAAAACATTTTTATTGCTTGGAAACTAAATTGTTTGGGAGTTGCAAAGTGCTGTCTGTGTTCTCTCCTGTCTTACATGAGTAGGAGCTTTAATGAAAAATCAGTAGTGAAATGACAGTAAATGAAGAAATAATGTTAAATGAAAGGATATAAAGAGATCTGATGAATACGTTAGTTAGGCAAAATATTAAAAAATTAATAATGCTACAACATTAAGAGTAACTATAAATACATTTTAGAATTTGATCAGATATACAATCAGATACTCTTTTTGGATATTTGTCCACCTGTGAAATACAAAGTGAAAATTTCAAAGAGAATTGTAGTTTTCTTTGTATAATGCAAAGGACATTTGGTATCACCATCTTAGAATTATGTAGGGCGTTAGAAAAAATAACTTACTCCTGCAGCTCAGGGTTCATTCTGCCCATCTTTCATGAGAGGCCAAGTATTTATTTTACTGTCACATTAAATAAGTACTTGAGGAGGTGCTCTTTGGGCTGGGCGGAGGAGAACTGCAAACACAAGGAGGTGCAGTGGTGCTTAAAAGAGCTCAGCTTCCATATAGCTCATCCTGCCTGTATTTTAAGATCAGATTTCACGTAGAAAAAGCAATATTTACTGCTTACCTTTCTGTTCTATGCTATGAATGACTGTCCTTCCCTGTTCATCCATAGCCAGTAGAAATGTGGTTATACATTCGCTTTCCCCCTGCAAAGAGCAGTGAATGGATTTATCTTTATCTTCCGAATAATCTGCAGAGGGAAGAAAAAAAAAAAAAAGAAAAAGAGTCATTTGTCAGATAAAATGAAATTTAATGTGTAATAACAAGAGAGAGTGCTGGCATCATGTCTGTCACAGCCTTGTCTGTGAATGGTAAAGAGTGAAAAATTAAATAAGAAACACCCTCAGAATTTCTAGTAAATATAACGGCTTTTCTTCCATGCCAAGTTTTGTTTTGCTTCAGATTTTTCACTCATATTTCCAAAGAACTGATCCAGGTGTTGTCAATCTGCACTGACCATCTAGTGCACCTTATTAATGTGGTATACTGTGAATTTCAATGAATTGGAAGTGCTTCCAAGATGCTTAACCACCAGCTGTCCAGGAAATTTAATAGTCCCCAATTATAGGACAAAGTAAACAGCTGGTTTACAGCTACTCCTACCGTGTCCAAATTATGTTTCAAAAGTAGATATACACACATCAAACAGTAATGGATACTGTTAAAAGGGCTGCCATTTGTTTCTTCCACGATACCCCTGTCAAATATTAGCGTGTCCAGTATCATCACAACAATAAACATAAATTAATAAGAGAAATTTGTGATTCTCAGATCTTCTTAATGTGATTCGAGGAGAAGCAGGTAAAAAGTGACCCGAGATGATAGTGTGTCCCAGTTTATTTGTCTCTCCATTTAATTTAGATCTGCACAACAACTTAATCCTTTTTTTTTTTTTCAGATGATTCCTAACTGGGAAACGTTTTCTGATGAGAAAAGATCACTCAAAGAAGAAAGCTGGCTGTGAGGGATGATATAAAACAAAAAAGACAATTGAAAATGGAGACTATGGGTGCAGAGCCAGAAATTCCGCAATTTGGAACCTGACCAATATATAATATTTTTACAGAGTAAAAATATCCAACCCTATAACTGTGTGCAATTATACCACTGTGGCTGAACGCTTGTTAGGTTTCCATATGACCCATGATTTAAAGAGCATTGGAAACCTAGGTATGTTTTCAGTACGTTTTTAGTAAAACTTCTTAGGATTTTATTTTTAGAGGTAAAAAAAAGCCGTTAAAACTTCTCAAACATTTCTTTGAAAACAGCCATCACTTTAAGCTCTCCAATATTTCTTACCAGTCAAAACTCTTACTGAAATTTCATAAGCAACAGTGCTAAAAGTCTTAAGTCCTTAAACTTTAAGAGCAAGAAGACTAATGAAGTACAAAGTAGGAATCTGACAGGAATGTGGATTTTAAAGAAATCTATGACACATAAAGAAATAAGTGCTTGCTCTTTTTTTCTCTTTTTTCTTCCTTTTCGTTTTTTTTATAAGGCTTATTATCATACAGTTTGATCTTATAGAAAAGACTATTAAACACCATAGAGTGTGAAAGTATAAATAGTTGACTTCCCGGCAGTCCTTTTCTCTGCTTGTTTCAAAGAGAATCACATCTGGCTGGATTTTAACGGAAACACGCTCTTGATTTGTGACAATCTCGTATTTAGCCGGTTGCCTGCCCTTGGTGGCAGAGCAATGTGTTATCTATCAAGGTGACAGGCACACAAGACTTGCTGATTTAACAAGATTTGTTTTTGCTAAAAGGACCGCAAACTGCAGACTGAGTGTACTCAATTAATGGCACTCAGTGCCAGGTTGCAATTCCAGTAACACTGTCATTCGTTTTGCAATATTTGTTATTTCCCAACTCTTTTAAACAAGCACACCCAAAGAATATTACCTTAGGAGAGAAAGAGAGAGAGAAAGACAGACAGTTAGCTACCCTGCAGGCAGACACAAACATGCAGGCATATTCCAAATATCATCCAGGAGGCAGTAACTGGGACTATATTATTTTTAAACAGTAATTTTTAATTTAATGTCATAATTTGAGACCAAGGGGAACAGAAATCTGATGATGTGGAAGGATGTAGAAATGAATGCAAAGATGCCAGTTCAAGCTATTCCAAACCCAGCTTTGCTTAGCATTTTTATTCCTCTGATGCTATTTTCAGGATGCAGGATCAGTAAGAGAGAGTAGGGCGTAGATGATTTTCAGTTCATCAGCACAAAAATTTGCTTACGTAGCTAAAGTCCTGTAATTTACACCTGCATCATTTTCCCTGTTCTGCAGGGAATCATCATACTTTTCCCACTTCTGCCTGCAGCCTAATTCCATTAATTTCAATGGTATTTGATACCACCAGACTCACACTGGAAGAATTGAGTAACTGTGGCAAACGGGATCCTTGAAGTGTAAAAGACTGTTTCCTAACAGATACTTAGATAACAGGTTTGTTTTTTTTTAAAATTGTCTGTAAAGGTTGTTATGCCCTTTCTTGTTTGTCTTTTGCTCCACAAAATACCTTTTTTTTTTTTCTTCATAGTTTCATCTCACTTTCAGTCGGAACAACAGAGCAGTGCTGATAGAGAAGAAAGCGTAACTGTCCCTGCTGGGCTTGTGGCAGGAGCAGCCAGGTGCCCTGTGGCTGGAGTCACTTTTTAGGAATGGAAGTTCCTCCTGGGCAGCAAGTAGAGCAACAAAGGCTCCTCTTAGACTCATCTGGCAGAGGGGGATTTAGCACAATTTAACATTCAAATATTAAAAATGGGTGAAAATAAATACTCGAAGGTGATGCCTGCCATGGAGATGAGCCCAGGAAGCGTGAAGCCATCGCACCCCCGGAGCTGTGGTGCCATCCTGTGCCCTGCCAGGTCCCCAGGCAGAGAGGCTGTCCACCCCAGAGACCCTGTGGTGGGAGGAGAATCCCCCAGCACCTCTGGAACTGAAGCAGAGGCCAAAGGCCTGGCTCAGAGGCTAAAACAGGCATTTCCAGGAAACAGGAAAATGTCAAGCCTGCACTTTCTTTTTTACTGCCCCACAGTTCCAGCCATTGTGTTGCAACATACACATGAAAAAGAGAAATTAAATCTTTGAATGCTAATGTTTTATTTAACCTATTGCTAGTTTTCAAAAAGCCTTGAGGCATTTAAGGGTCTGAAATATAAGCGAGAAAGAAGCAAGTATGCTGTCATATGAAGCTGCTTAATAATGTGTCTTAAATATTATGTGGTGGTCTAGTTATACAACTTTCAAAAATATTTTTTTATTCAGGTAATTTTTGTTTTGTTTGATTTTAAGGTTATTTTATTATTATTATTTTCAAGATTTTTTTTTCCCCCTCAGGACTTCTAAGTGCAGCTACCTCCATGCCAAAACCAAAGTCGTGTGCTATGACACAAGCATTTTAGACAAAACACAGTTTACAATAGCTTCATTTTTTAATTTTTTTCTAAATTTTTTTGGAGGGGTCAGGATGGGAACAGTTATCCAGCCTTCCCTACAGCAGTTGCTGTAACTGCTGCAAATAAATTTTACATCTAAAGCAGTAGCTGATAGTCCTGATCAAGGAAGCACAGGACATGAAAAAAAGGAAATAAGCAGGAACAGGAGATGATGTTTTCATTCTCATGTTTCCGTGACCTCTGTGTGTGTGAACAGAGCTATGTAAGTGACTGTTCTTGCTCTTGATCAGTATTCATAATATTTGAAAGGAGAATGCCTTATATATTACTAACTACAAATATCTGCCATCTGGCAATAGCAACCTGAAAACTATACTAACTACAGAGATACAATAAAGCACTCATATGTTTTTGAAACTTGTCAAGACATACTTTTATATTTATAAACAAATACCCATCTGTAGAAAGGCAAAGAGGAAGAGAAAGATCTAGGGGTCCTGGTGGACAGTAAAATGGCAATGAGTAAACAGTGTGCTCTTGCGGCCAGGAAGGCCAATGGTATCTTGGGTTGTATAGGGAAGAGTGTAGCCAGCAGGTCAAGGGAAGTCATTCTCCCCCTCTACTCTGCACTGGTGAGGCCACAACTGGAGTACTGTGTCCAGTTCTGGGCTCCCCAGTTCAAGAGGGACAGGGAACTACTAGAAAGAGTCCAGCGTAGGGCTACAAAGATGATTCAGGGATTGGAGCATCTCCCTTATGAGGAGAGACTGAGAGAGCTGGGACTCTTTAGTCTGGAGAAGAGAAGGCTGAGGGGAGACCTTATCAACGCCTACAAGTATCTCAAGGGAGGGTTGAAGGAGGAGGGAGCCAGACTCTTTTCAGTGGTTCCCACCGAGAGGACGAGGGGCAACGGGCACAAGTTGGAACATAAGAGGTTCCACTCAAATATGAGGAGAAACTTCTTCACGGTGAGGGTGACGGAACCCTGGAACAGGCTGCCCAGGGAGGTTGTGGAGTCCCCTTCTTTGGAGATTTTCAAAACCCGCCTGGATGCAGTCCTGAGTAACATGCTCTAGCTCTAGGCAATCCTGCTTCAGCAGGGGAGTTGGACTAGATGATCTCTATGGTCCCTTCCAACTCTAGAAATTCAGTAAAATTCAGTAAAATTCAGTAAACCATAATAATAGTTCTAATAAAAATACAAAATTAGAATTAGTTTTCCTTACAAGGCCAATATTTGCAACTTTTTAGCTCTATACTATGGAACAATGTTATCAAAAACAAAAGGTGTAGCTTTGATGGAAAGATGTGTATCAGTGAGATTCATGCATGCATGAAGCTCTGGGTGGGCTTCCAGCAGTTTGTGGGCACAGTCCTTAGGTGTGCATACGGCATTCTGCATTGTCATCCTAACTTTTACACTTCTCTGATGTCATGCTTACGATAACGCACCTTTGACCTGGCTCACCTAACAATTGCATTTTGCCATAGGACTTGGGCTAGAATTGCTATTATCATAAATTCAGACTGCCTACTCTACAGGCAAGCACCTTCCTCTACAGGAAAGGAAAAGGCTTTGATGTGGTATTTCATTTAAAGCTGTATTTTTTTTCTGAGAATATTATTTTATTCAATGTTAATTTCTATTAGAGAAATTTCTATTGGTGGAGGGCAGTTCTGAATTACAATGTGCTTAGCCTTTAGGATGCTAGGAGTGTCTCAATAAAACCGACAAGAAGCAGAATGTCTTTGCCACAGGTCAAAGGGCTGCATCCAGTTGCTGACGGTAATCAAGGGTGTGTGTAAGGACTGGAGTCGGGTTTTGCATTTGTACGGTAAAAGAAGCCACGCTGGAACTCATGGTGCAGGCTGACTTAACCTCAGGGGCTTTCCTCGGCCCCTGATTTGCAGGGACTCATATTTATTAAATTCTGTTCTTTCTTACATAAACTGATTAGAAAGTAGGTGTGATCCAATGAGTTAATTAACCTGGAGGAGTGATACCAGCCCTGATCTGCATTTCCTACTTACCACAGAAGAACCATAGACAGACAGCAATTGCCTTATGATCCCTAATATAATCCCACAGCAGAAAAACAAGGCTACTTTCAAATATAAAATTACTGAAAGTGGAAACCATCACTGATCATGCATACACAGAAAAGGAAGATTGAATGTACAAACCTTCTGCAGTGCTGACAGTTGCATCAACCAATTTGCATTTTTCGCTGCATTCTCCCAGTGACTTGTCATCGGAAGACAAGTGACATTCCACACAGCTCCTGTGGAAAATAATTCAGCGGCTCATCAGTCTCTGTCTGTCACAAAGCAACAATATAAAAGCCAGTACGTATGCATCTGCATTTTAAAAAGAAGCTAAACAAAAGGTCTTGTGCTATGGATACAGTAGTTCTCAGAAATATGATAGGTATGGCCACCAAAAAAAAAAACCCAAAAAAAAACCCTCCACCTGAATAAAGGTATTGTGGATAAGCTCTCTCTTCTTTTTTCTCCCAAGCTTATTAGCTACCAGACAGAACCCCGGGAAACATTATTCATCTAGGTCTATCAAAGACATGGGGTTACTCACACATAACATTCATTTTCAAAAATAAATATTCTGAACTAAGCTCATACTAAATACCAGCTGAAGGAATGCCCTTCAGATGAACAATATCTGAAATCGGCTTCAAAGAGATCAAGCTGGGGTTCCTATTATAAATATTTCCTTGTTAAAAGTCTATTGGATAATGTTTCTTGAATGTTGTGTCAGAAATTACTTAGATCCTAATTATACTAATGCAATTTATTGGAAAATTATTTACTTTATTTAATGGTGGAATGATAGAAATATTGTTTAAAATCCCAGAGTCTAAACCAATTCCTTCAGAAGTCTCTGAAAATCTTCCCAGAAATTCAATGAGGATTTTAATATATCCATAGTTTATTCATGGAAAAAGGAAGCAACAAACACAATTCATATATGAAAGTTTTTGATGCAAAGCATATCTTGCTGATTCTTCAGAAATAGCTTCAGCCAGATTCAGGGACTGAGACTCTGAGAAGTAGCCTGAAGGACTGACTGCTTAAAGAAAAGAGAAGAACTGCAAGAAAACATCCCCAAAAGAACTGGCCATCTCGTGTTGCATTGAGTTACATATATCCATGAGAATATGCTGAGGCTGCCAAGATTATCTTCATGGGATGGAGATGACCTTATCGATAACTCGCTCTGGAGATAGTGAATAGTAAAAGTGAGCAGGTAATGGGATAGCCTCTATCTCATGGAGACAAATTCAGCGTTGTTGGTGTTTTTGTCATATTTGCCATGTTTCTCATACTACCACTCTTTTTCTCAGCTGCCTAGCCATTAATCTCCATCCCCTCTGACCTGATCTTTCAGCTCTCTCGGTTACTCTACCCAGGTATTCCCAATGTTCTGTGTCTTCTGCCTTTCCCTGCCCTGCACTTCAGCAAGGGAAGACACTGAAACAGAGAGAAAAGATCTGACACTGCATACAATATACATATTTAAATAGGCTAATGTAATGCCCATGGTGTAACTTTATATTTCTTACTCTCTGCCAAATTGCTCAGAGCAAAGTAGCAGCATTGTCCGTCGTGTTTAGAGCGGTTGCAAGCAGAAGTTCTCTTTACTTAAAGCTTTGAACAAACTGTTTGGCTTGGTTTTGTGGGTACAATTTAACACTAACATAAATGATGATTAAATCACATGTCATACAATAGCTTCACATCTCAAATATAGCGTAGGCTGCAACGACAGGCATGAAAATACAGTGGTGGAGAGCTGGTGTGGAAGAGAAATGGCTTCAACTCTAAATAAGTAGACATGAAGATAGTCATGAAAGATTAACGCAATTTATGGACTCAGAGCTCAGCAAGCAAAACTGGGGTCATTAATAATGTGTATTCTGTGAAGCCTAATTCAACTTCTATCTTAAATTTCTACTGAAGCCTGCTCGTTTTGGGCTGACTGCAGTCCTGCAAGAGCTCATGTAATACAAGCATAAGTATGTGTGTACTTAGAGCGGTCAGCTTTGTGTCACACATGGTTTTGGTTGCTTTTCCTACCATGCCCTGTAGCATACACCACGCATCACAGCAGGAGAGCTACATAAATTTTGTATGCTCAGTGAATAGAAAACACTTCACCATTTACAAACCATTTATCATCAACTTATACATGACATACAGCTACCCACTGATTTCATCCCCAGACTATGACCCAGTTTATCACAGCTGGGCCCCGTTAATCCAGCCAAGCTTAACTGAATTTGGACTATGAATTTGCACATGTGTAAAACTTGAGGAGGCAGTGTGACATTATGAGTTCATATGCATGAGAATGGCAATACAAACGCCAAACTTTTCTGTGAGTCCTCATTTTCGCTGTAGTAGCTATGCTGGGATATTTTTATTCTGTGCTGTGGACTGCGAGGAGATTCATCTGTATTTGTCTGATGATATCACGTAAGGCCACCATTCTGATTACTTGTACAGCCAGGGACAGCAGTGGAAGTGTGATGTTTTACTTGTGCTGCTTGTAGGCGAGCAAATTGTTTTCCATCAAGTTCTATTGTACACAAGTAAGGCTGATAACTGGTTGATGTACACATTACGACTACCTCTCTCAAAGGGCAAAGTAGCTCTTGGGTTCTGGTCTGTAAATCCAATTGATGGCAGCGGCGGTAAGCACACTGCTGAAGCAGTAGAGGAGAGAGATACCTGGATGATACAAACACCAAAGACATAAAACCAGCACCACATAAAAACAGAAATAGTAAATTACCTCCTGGAACTGCAAGGGTCCCCGCAGAGAGGGCATTTTTCGCACGTTTGGCCCAAAGCCCCCGGGTGGGTGCAAGCACACGACCCACAGACGCATAGGCCTCTCCCGCTGCACAGCGTCCCATCCTCAGCAACGCAGGCGCCGGTGTCAGTTGTGCAGTTGCAGTATTCACCCGTCCATCCACTGTGGCACAGGCATTCCCCACAGTCACAGTCACCATTGCCTGGAAAAACATTGTACTTCAAATCATTCTCTTAATAAGAATCTGAATGATGGCCTTTAAAATAATTCTCCTTAATAGCAGGTATTTTCCCTTCTCCAGCTCCTCACCCTTAAGCATCCTTCTTCCTCCCCCAGCATTTTCAGTTTTAAGAGAGGATCAAATTTTCGCTTAGGCTGGCTGTAAGCCAGCACAGCTCCATTCTCTTGACTGGGGTTCTCCACACAGATCTTATCTCCCAAAAGTGCACAACCTAATGGGTAAATCCTCTTTCATTTATAGCAGCATAATTTCAGCCTGTCTATTCAGCACAGTGGCATTGCTATTTCCTGCCTGTTTAATGCTACTTCCATTGTTTCATCAGAATCACTTCTGATTTACAGTGATACCGCCCAGGAAAAAAATTATAAATACAAGTTCTCAAATTCTGATTGTATCTTGCTGAGAAAAACCAAGAACCACTGAGGTTACGGTGTTAAAATTACAAAAATATCAGAATTTTCCTAAAAGTGATTAATTAAGGTGAGTTAATGAACATTTCCATGCTTTGATAATTATGTCAGAGTGAAATTTTACAGTGACTAATACTGATGTATATCAATACACTTGCCTAAAATTCCTTGGAGCTACAAGCATCTACAGCCATTAAAGGCCTGACCCAGTATGATGGTAGCTGCTATATCCCAATAAAGCCATGCCAACAGAGACCAGCTATGGAGCGGTTCAAGGTGTCTCATTTTTAAATTTGAATACAGGGTTAAAAGCTCTTTCTTTTTTAAAGTCTAGAGATCATTCAGAAATAGTAAATTATGCTTTATGAGGAATTGATTGCAACTGAATGTATGATGAAAATGTAGATTCACGAGCTGATACCTGAAAGTGAGCTCTAAAATGCAGGCACCAAAAATAGCATCAAGGGACTGTACCTCCACACTGGAGCCCTCTGTGTCTCACGCAGGAGAAGTCGTCGCACTCACAGCGTGGCCCGTAGACCTTCCCGTAGAGGGAGGGGTGGCAAACGCACTGCCCGCAGTAGCAGTCTCCTCTCCCACTGCAGGAGCTCTGCTCCGCCGAGCCCTTGCAGGAGCTGGTGCCCAGGGAGCCCTCGTGGCACTCGCAGTGTGGCCCCGTGTACCCCGGGCTGCAGACACACACCCCGCATTCCAACGATCCTTTCCCCTGGTTGCATTTCGGGCTGTTCTTCTCGGCCTCCACCTGACAGTTACAGCTGCACTGGGGATGAATTTCCATCTCCAGTGTGTCACTGAGCCCCACTGGTTTTATCACAATATGCCTTCTGGTTTTTTCGCAAGACGAAAGACTCACAGTCACATTGAAAGAGACCTGGAGGAGAAAAACGGTGGCTGTTCAGAGCTGCAGCACACGTAGCTCTGCAGGGTGCTCTGGAAGCACATGCAGAGGACAGAACAAGAGGGTTGCAGATCACAGAATCATAGAATGGTTAGAGTTGGAAGGGACCTTAAAGATCATTGAGTTCCAACCCCCCTGCCATGGGCAAGGACACCTCCCACCAGACCAGGTTGCTCAAAGCCCCATCCAGCCTGGCCTTGAACACTTCCAGGGATGGGGCACCCACAACTTCCCTGGGCAACCTGTTTCAGTGTATCACCACACTCGCAGTAAAGAATTTCTTCCTAATATCTAATCTTCCTTTTTTGTAGCTTGTTTGGAGGAAGATTATTTAATAAAGAGCAAACTCTTTACCTTGGTGTCCTAAATTCCCTGGACTTCATTCATTCATTCACAAATTTTGTGAATTTGTTCTTTACTTACTGTGTCTCCCACTTTCACGTGAGAGCATTTCCTCTGATGTGGAAAGAGAGTCCCATTGTTACAGATGGCCGTGAAAGAGAGATTGAGCCCTTCCGTCTCCCCCAAGACTTCCAGCTCCACCTCGGACCTCAGCTCCTAAAAGAAAAAAGGTATGAGATGAATGGAATGATAACACTACCAAGTACTGCTAATGCTCCACTTTCGTCTAACACAGATTTTAACTTATTCCAACATAAAAGGGAATAAACTCGTGGGTTTAGCACTTTATTCACAGTCTTCCGTATTGCAAGAAAAATGGAGAACAAGCAAAACAAAGAAAGTGCCAACAGAACCATCTTTCTGTGGAAAGCAATGGTGGTATCAGTTTAATATCCGCTATCACGGAGCTGATTTCCTGCCCTTGCAGGAGAATAAATTCAGTCTTATATTAAATCATCTTTCATCACTAAGTGCTCTGCTGACTGATACAGGTTTGTCTTTAGCTCTGGTCTTCCCAAGGAATGGGTTTGTGTCCCTGACTGCATTGCTCACACTGGCCTTCTCCTGATTAGTCAGCCTATGGCAATATTGCTCCCTGTTTATCTCTGCTGGTGGAATCAAACCTCATAATCTCTCTCACTGTCAGTCCTATTTCAAGTTGTATACAGCAACCTACTCATTTCTTAAATCAATTTGTTCAAGCAAACTTTCATTTCTTAAGGGAAAAACTTACTTCCTGAACTCGCTCACACCCAGGTTTTTATATTTAACACTTTAAAATATTTTGTAGCAACTTTGCTTATGCAACTTAGTCTTAATCCAAAGCCTACAGCAGACCGTAAGGAAATTCCCTATGACTTCATTGGATTGTGTATCCAGTAAATGGAAAATTTTCATAAGTACCTTAGCAATTGCTAAACAAAAGTCTCACTGACATGCCTTTGTGCTCTTCTGAGTTTAATTGCTTTACAAAATACCCCCTGCACTTCAATCACAGCATGAAGAACTCCACTGACCTTACTTCAGTGAGTCATTCCAGTAAAGTCATCAGGATGACTCACTGGAGTAAAGGTCTGATCAGGTAAAACCAACTAAACGCAGAATAGGTATAAACCTGCATAGCCAACAACTCCTTTGTACATGTCCTGGTCTCCCTGGACATTTCTCTTAGGGTTGTGCTTGGTGAGGTATTTTTAACACCTTTTCATTTGGAAAACCTTGTCAGTAAACCAAAGCACTTTAATGAAGAACAGCAACACGTTATGCAGGACGCAATACCCAGAGCACTGGGCGTCAGATTGGTAACCTTGGTAGCTCTGGAGGTGTCCAGTTTTGTCTTCACATTTGTTCTAAGGTTAGGTGCTTCTGTTGTTGTTGAAACAATATAGAGATTCTTAAAAAATAATTTGTTTGCACTAGCTGTGCTCTCACATAAGGACCAAATATAGCAAACCTCTAGACAAAACTTTAAATGTTGGTATGTGCTAATATTACAGGAAATATCACCAAATAGTCCTGCTTCCACCAGCTGCAAAACTACAAAGCTCAAATAGAGGGCAACTGTGAGAGAAAATTAAATGCTTCTGAATAAGAAGATATAGTACTTTGAATCCTGGTGCCTGTGCCGGGCCATTATGAACCTGCCTTGTAGTTGTGAGACGTCAAAATACACACCCCATGCCACTGAAAATGAACACAAACTGTGACAGACTCTAGTTTCTTAGATCTTAATATCTGTGAGGACTTCTAATGGTGTTTTAGATCTACTAAGCTGCCTGGCCGTACTTTGGGGAGAAATAGCAGACAGTTTAGCGAGCTTTAAGCTATTCAAAGAGAAATATCTCTGGTTCAAAAAATTTTCTAGAGTGAAACAACAGACAAAGCAGTGTTAGAAACTTGTGCCTTTGTGTAACCTGTCCTGTTTTAATAAATTACTTCTTTGGTCTCATTTCCTGTAAGTGAAAAGGTAAGTAAGCACTGAAAAAAAAAAAAAAAAAAAAGGAATTTTTCTGGAATTTTAAAAACCTGGAATAACTTCAATCAGACGGATTGATATCTGTCACAATGCAATTTAACCTACAGCTCTGCAATACAAAGTTATGCAGAATTCAATGTTAAACAAAGCAGGTGGAAACATGCTTACAGAAGAAAATGAGTCATGCTTGGAAAGAACACGAGAACTTGGAACAAATATTTTGACAGCTCAGACTTTCTTAACTTGCTTACTTCCTCTCTGAAGCTTTTAGATAGCAACACATGGTAAATGGTATTAGCAATCCTTGTGTTTGTACAGCAAACAACGTCTCAAAGGCATTTCAAAAGCAGTAAAAGATTTGGCCTAACTCTACATTTGGGTGGCAAATAGTTATTTATTCCTTTTTTGTGGGTAAAGAAACAGAGTCACTTGGTCATTGAATTACACTGCTGAGAGTATCATGAAAGGGCTGTGTCAGAAGTGGAATTAGGTCTTCTGTTTTGCCTGGGATTTTTAACCTTCATTTCCCCCCTTCCCAGTTCAAAAAAATTTAGATGTCTTCACTTATAAGATGGTTTTCAGTTTCGAAAATCTTCCTACTTGGAAGATTTTCAATCATGAAGCAATAAAACAGGCTCTGGGAAATTTTGAGTGTGCTACATGTTGCTGCTTGTACGCTTTGTACATCTTGAAATATGTGTGGGATTTTAAGAACCTATGAGCAACTCTGGTGTGTGGTCCAGACATGCTGTACCTGAACAAGGACACAAAGAGGTATGGCCTGAAGGCAGGAGCATCATTCCTGCAGCCACCTTCCTGCAGCTATGGCAGAGGAGTGAACACCCAGCTCAGAGCCCCCTCCAAACCCTGCCCACAGAATGGCTGAACCCTGGACCAGCCAAAACAAATCAGGACCTGCACCGGGGTCATCACTGACAGCTCTGGGAGATGATCTGCTCAGCACGTAGCAGTTAAAAAGCCAACAGTCCTGGGCGCCACAAACAAGGATGCTGAGAACAAGACAGAGGGTATTGTTTTGCCTCTGTATAAGCCTTAGTATGCCCTGTCTTGTGTGCTGCAAGCTCTTCTGGTCTCTACTGCTCAGGAAGGATTCATTGGAGGGGAAGGTAAAAAGAAGGTCAGCTAAAGTCACCAACGGGGTGGAGCAGCTGAGGAGAGACTTAAAAGGCTGCGATTGTCCAATTTGGAAAGCAGGCTGCAGGGGTGGAAGGTGTCTCAGTGATTAAAATATTACAAAATCATAAAGACATGAAGGTAAGGTGAATGCAGAGCTGTTACTCACCAAACCTCGCAACACCAGAAATAAGGTGCACTCAGTGAAACTTTAAAGCATAGGCAGTAGTTTAAAAATGGAAAAAAAAAATGTATCTTGACACAAACTCCCTTTTGCCAGAGGAGGCAATAGAGACTGAAAATATCAGCAGGTTCAAAAAGCAGAGTAGAAAAACAAAATAAATCTAGACAATCAGTAACTCTAAGGGGAAGAGGCAAGGATGCACTCTCTACCTTTCCAGCGTGCCAGCAAGGCAGAAGATGCCATGACACTGCACTGAGCAGCAGCACCATTCTGCATTTAACATGATGTTGCAGCAAAGGGAGCAGGACACAGCACCGGGACAATTATTTTATGTTTCTCCATTACTCACTGGACAATAAAATGGTATTTCAGCTGTTAAACGTAGGAACCTGTCTATCTGGTAGAGTGCCAGCCTCAAGAAATCCTGACAAGAACCAAATGTGACCAGCATCAGGCTGGACCCCGGAAGTGAAATCCTGGTGCCATGGGATGTTTAGCAGTAACTTTGCTCATGTAAAGATTTCTCCTCATATTTATTAAAATGTGTAGACTCGCAAGATTAACCTTAAAGTTCTTTGCTTATTTAATTTTTCATAGGTTAGAGAATCTTGTAATACTTTGTAATTAATTTTAAAAAATATAGCTCACCAATTGTATTGTTTTTGTAAGAGTCATAAAAGAATTTGGTTTGCCTTCTTATCATCAAGACCAAAATAATTTTGGGCATAACGATGATCATCTCAGTCAGGTGATAGGAAGAAGAGCAGAAAAAAGAATAGGGAAAGAAACAGAAGCTCTTTGCAAAGAGTTATTTGCTTTGTAGCCAACTGGTAGAGCAGGTTTTTAATGAAAAGGGGCTGAGATAGAAAGAAGTCTATGGTATATTAGCATATATGTAAATTAATATATCTGTGTAAAGACATGCAAAACTGTCTAAAAACATTCCCCTGACAGAAGAGAACCAGGTAGCCAGGATGCATTTTACAAAGCTCTGGAAAATAGCCCTGTGTTTATCTTCCTGTCATCTTTACAGTATTTCTTGGTATTACCTACGCAAACCCATTCAAGTCTTGGTATTATCTACACAAACCTATTTCATCTCCTGTGTTCTGTGTTTTAAAAAGCTCAGAACAGCCTCACAGGGGCAGCATCAAATTGCTAAAGCAGAAAAGAGGTCTGAGCACGAGATAGCGCTTTCCCCCCAGATATTCCAGCAGAGTGATTGTACATCTGCCCTGGTGAGAGCAACAGATGGGAAGGGAGTCGAGTCCCTGTTGAGGTATTGAACCGGGAGACCTGAATACCTATATGAAAGAAGGTATACTCTTAAGAGTCGGTATGAAATACGGGACTCTGAAGACAGGAAGACAGATGAGACACCGATGTGAATTTAGCATTCCAGCAGAAACAAGGAATGACAAGGTTTTAGGAATTTTGTTTCTGTGCTCACTTAATCTTCAGAGTGGACAAAGTTTTTCCTCTTAAGGTCAGCACCTAAGCATAAAAAGTGATGCTCTAGTAATTAGTGCAGAAAAAGAATCAAAGACACTTATTTTTACCAAACAGCAATCTGATTTTGAAAATATAGACATGCAGGGAGAGAACGCCTTACCTGATATGCAGCAATGATCAACTGGAGAATGTTTCCAGAATCTTTCTGTAGTCGTCCAACAGTGGCTCCAGGAATAAGCTTTGCATAGTTCTGAAAATAAAAAAATAAAACAAAATTAAAACATAAAAAAAAGACTAGGTAACATGGTAGGTGGCAAGGAGCTACCGTCTGGAAAAAAAAAATCAAATACGTTGGAGCCAACTGAAATAAAAAATAGCGACATTTTCAAGGATCCTTGCAGATTCAATGACACACGTCCTGTTGAAAAGGTCCTATGGAGAAGTGCTCCTTTCACTGCAAATTAATGGGGCGTACATTGATAAATAACCCCCATGTGCTTGGAAGTTTGATACTGGAGTATTTTTGAGCTATAATTTTTCAACTTTAGAATGAAGATATATATTCTGTCAACATTTGTGTTTTTCTCTAATAACAATAACCAAAACCAGATTCAGCTGCTCTACTGTTGCTGTACTATTTGAGGGTCTTGGACCCTACATTCAATAACAGCAGTCACTTTTTTATCTTTGCAAGCAACTGAGCACCTCAAATTCCTGGTTAGTGAGGGCAGAGAAGTTAAGTTTAAGCTAAGGGCTACAAGAACTTTGAACAGATACCCTTAAAAAAAAAATGCTGCTGGTTTAATGATGTGACACACCACGTACATCCCAACAGTCTCTGGGTATGATTGATTGTATGTTGACTTTATGTTAATAACATAGTGTCAATTTATTTCAGTGATAAGTTTTCTTTTAATTTTTTTTGCATTAAATTGCATTGTGACACTAACGTGACATCTAGCAGCTAGATTTTAAATATAGTCAATTCAAATTTATCTTTTCTGATTGTTAACTACATGAACCTCTTTTGCTTGCACCCATGCCTTCAAAAAACAGAATGTGTGTTTTTAATGATGAACACTTAATAACACTCATTTTCCATTGCAATTTAACATATCAATGTTGTTATTTTAATTTAAAAAAAAATCCAGAGTGCTATTATTATATATGGATCATTGGACACCCTTATATTCCTCTTATACTTTACATCTCCAAAACCCCTGTGATTACTTTATATATTATGTATGGAATACTTATCATTCATTAGATTTCTAAAGTGCTATTGTAAATCAGTGGGATTAACTGCATTTTATGTTACAGCTGGTGACTTTACATTCCTGACTCCTCCTGCGATTAGTGCTCTCTCAAGGATTCTTAGAATATTGAAGCTTTCAGGAGATAAGTGTAAGAAAAGACGATAAACCTGGAATTTAAAGTATAGTACCCTTTAATCTGCGGTATGCAAAACAAACAGCAGGGATATACTGTTCTAATGACTTTGTTTTATCTTTCCCCTTTGAACCAAAATTTTCTGGCGTGGTGATACAAGGATGACGTTGCAAGCCCAGTCTAAGTGTGTATCTCCAGTCCATTGGTTAAACCCTGTCTTTTAGCACATATTTCTGTTTAACCATTGACAAGGTGAGGCAGACTGGTGCTTTCGGAGTGCTACTATCATAAAACTATCCAGAGGATGCCATGGAATTTACTCTTTTAGCAAATATTCATTAAAAGATGAAGTTCCTTTTTATACAGATACCCTGATTCATGCTAGTGAAATTTGACAGTTATGTATTTGAGTTCACTGGGATTATGTCTGATTTTTAGCAGTGTAAACAGTAGGAGAATTTTCATCATAGAGTGTCATGCCAAATTTATAAAAATAATTTGAATTTTTGTACGAGTGTAGGGACTGGGATATTTTTAGTTCAATTTTCAGCAGTGAAATGCAGTCCGAAAAGCCCAATTTTCAAGTAGTATTCTCCTGTGATATAAAAAGAAATAATTTGTACAAAAAAGAGCAATTTCTGTTTCAAAAGAAGCGCTGCTTAGTCAGGATTATAGAGGGAATCTTTTCCCTAAGTTTGAATATCTTTTTTAAGAATTCTGCTTTTAAACAGATAATATAAGCAATAGTAACAACTACTTCATGAAACCTTACAGACTGGTGTTTTCTTTTATACTAAAATAGGATTTACACAATTTGTCAAAATATCATTATCGTTGCAATATTCACAGATACTTTTTGAGTGAATAACTTTTATAGAATAAAAACATTCCCCGCTGCTTTGGTGAGACTGGTGAGACTAATGATGCAAAAAGTTAGATATATGAATATATTTTAAGAGACCTTTTTGGGGGAAAAAATAATCTTTTTCACAAATAATCTCAAATTATCAGGTCTCAGTGTAAAGAACTTCCTCTTCTCTCTTGCATTAATTTTGAGTGGCCTTATAAATGTTTCCACGTGACTGCTTTTAAAGTTCTTGTGGTCAGGGAGACCATCAGACCTAAATCTTACCCCTCTTTTAGATTGCTGTGCAGTAGCTGCTTGGTTGCATGGAAGGATCCGCAAGCTATGTTACAAGCTTGTGGAATCCACAATATTTGTGTGCTCAGTAATAATACACATACATGTAAGTGGATAAACTGAAAATTCAATTGAAGAGAATCAAGAATATTAAATGACTGAATTATTTTGGGCTAAATTGCTGGGGATTATACAGGGCTGGAAATATAAACGATATATTTGACAGTCTGAACACTGCAGTTAAGACTAATGGAATCTATCAAGTCTATTTAAAGAGCTGCTTTCTAAGCCCTCACAGTCATTTCAATGTACATTGAATGTACATTTCTCCCTAAGAACCAAATTATAAATAGCAATGGTCAATTTTCGGGTCTGCTATAATTAGATGCTGAGTTGAAGTAGATTTGAGATGAGACTGGAGAGAGGCTTTCCACCTCAAAGCATGATTAAGTTTGGGAAGGTTTTCGAGGGAGATTGTGCAATCTCCATCACTGAGGCTTTTAAAAAGAAGTGAAACACTAAGACAAGAGTGATTTAATGGTGGTGCCCAAGTGTCAGCTTATAGGGTCCTCTCCCCTCTTCCAGGCAACCTGAACAGTGGCCTTGTCACAAGAGTAACTCTCATTGTCTTGCTTTGTTCTTTTTACATTCTTAAGAATAGATACCTTGTTATTTATATTTATATTACAAATACAAATCATGCAGATGAAAACATGACACTATTGACCTGTTTGCAGGTCCTACACATACCCTAAAAGGTACACTGTAGTGTGGAAAAACTGCAGTGAGACTTATATATGATTTTTGTACTTGCTCTGGCTGATTTTCCACATCACCTACAGGACAGAAAGCAGACCATAACAACTACAGCTGCCCAAATAAGCAACAGAAAGCAGTACTGAAAAGGTGAAAGAGCAGATAGAATATATTGAATGGGATTACTGTATACCCTACAAGATAGAAGATAATAGCACTTTTTTTTCCCCGACAAAGAAAGTAACAAGAACAAACCAATCCCCAGTTGGGTTAACAATAGCTTGCATTTTTTGTTAGCTATAAATCTTCATTTAGTGTTCCCAGTGAACAAAGGGTGCCACTTGATAACTTTGATACTGGTATAACACTGACACAGGGATACTGAAACAGAAACCCCTGATAAGAACAGTGTTGGACAACTCTGAGGGTGACCACCAGCAATTTCCAAGGGAAGATATAATGCCATCAGTAAGACAAAAGTTTCTTTGGACAAAATAAGGCTATGTAAATCAAACACATACTTCCAAACTACCTCCTAGAACAGTCCCTTTTCATGCAGCTTCTCCTAAAACCATGGAAAAGTTTTCACTTGTCATTAATTGGGCTCCTATTAAGATATTGTTGAGCAATAACCAGATTTAGTAAAAGCTTTGTAATGTACAAATTGTAACTAATCTATGCTATGACTATAGAATCCCACTGCACTTGCAAGTGATTGAATTCTACTATTGTTGAGGTAAATTTTCACACCTCAGCTCAGTATTTAATACAGTCTTTGAAAAAGCCAGGCAGTCAGTGCTCCAAGATGCAGAGTGATTCCTCCCTTGTCAAGACTGTAACTGAGAGTCAGTTTATGAAAGATGTGACTTCTGTTGAACTATGGGAGACAACTATACAACTGCAACCAGTCAGAGAAGCACTGGGGGGATCTTCTCTGGGTTACACAGAGGATAGAAATAGAAAATCTTCATATTGGTGAATACCTCAAGAGCTCACCTGCTCTCTGCTGTAAAGTAGGACCTTTTTCCTTAACTTTTCTATCCTGTTTTCCATGTGGTTATCACACCAGTGGAGCACTTTTCTCATTCCTTTGCTATTTGCTTTCAACGAGAAATGTTGTGTGAAGGTTTTTCCAAGGAAAAAACCTTTTTCACCTTTGGAAAGCCAAGCTTATTGTATCAGCAGGATCACTCTTACTGGCTCCCTCTCAACCAATCTGAATAAATGTGGAGGCACAATTTCTCTCCCCTTGTCCCCCTTCATGTAGCAGCATGTGGCCAGGCAGCCAAGTGTAGGCTGCAAACCCCCATATTATCCTCTGAACCCCCGTATTATCCTCTGAATTCTTATCTAGAATTTCTTTTTGCACAGGAAGATTACTTCCCAGTGGCAGGACTGGACAGAAAAGGAAAAAAGAATTGCCAATACCCTTCTCACTTTATCTTAGAGGACTTCTGCTCACATTCACTGCACAAAGCAGTCAAGTAGCCATTAGTGGCTTTGCATCAGCTCACGGCTGGAACACCAGCAGCCAAAAGCAGCATGAGGCTTCAGGAGAGTTTATATCTGCGGAGTCTGAAAACTCGTGCCTGCACAGATGACTGATGGAGCTGCAGGTATGAATGATACTCAGTTTGTTAAAAATATGGATTTTTGTATATCCATAACCACTGCTCCTCCACCCTCCCCTTTCACGTGGCTCCCATTTCCCCTGACATGACTTCATAGAGCAAGAAATTACTTCATGGAACAGGATTCTGCAAATCCTAATATCAAAAATTCCTGTAATAAACTATTTTCCCCTCAGTGAACATGAGGAATGATACATGAGGGAAGAAGACTTTGTCCATCGTGTTTTGTATTTTTAATCTTGCCACTACTTTCCTATTTGTCTTGTTGAAAAGAGACACAGAAACAAAGACAAAATAATAAAATTCTTAGGTCAGCTGAAAAAACACACGATTATCTCAGAGTTCAGCATGAAGATGAACGTACTTTTCAAAATACATTATTGTCTTAAGAAGTTAAAACAGGCTCAACTGTCCTTCTCTAACCTTATAAAATACAAAAGGTTAATCATAATGATTACACCGAATAGTTTAGCAATGCTTAGTTTGACAATCCTTGACTTAAAAATTAGTGTAATTCAACTTGAAATCCAATTTAAAAGTTACTTAAGAACATCAAAATCAATACAGGAAGAAGCACTTCGTAAGTAAAAGAGCCTTTCTCTGATATATAATTTCTTACCTATATATAATACACAAATATCCTACAGAACTCAGTCCTTAGTACTAGAATTACTGTCCCAGCTGTGAAAAAGGATCAACCTTAAAACAAATACCAGAGAACTGAACATTTTAGTGTACTCACCTCATATATGTGAACTTGCTCGTTCGTTACAGCAAAAATTAATAAAACATTGTTTTGCACAAGTTTATCAATTAATTGTCCAATTGTAGGATACTCCTGAAAAAAAAAGCCACATCAATGCATTTTTCATGTGTTGCATGAAACACACATTCAAATGATCATAATTAATCCTGTATAGAATAAACTATAATTAGGCACTACATGTATACAAAATAAAAGCCTATATAACTTCCTCGCCTTGTTTTTAAGGAAACCCCTCTAAGAAAAGTACAGTGCTGACATCCATAGTGGGACACTTGGCTCAGTAGCATCTGTGAGATAGATATATAGATATAGATGTCAAATCCGTAGAATAACACTGTGCCAGCGTCCAGAGCAAATGGGTATTTTTGTTACATTGAACACCATAGTGTATAAATCCAGTCTTTCTTAACACTGAGCCTTAAGCTGATAAATTCTCCTATGTGAAACGTCCTACAAATTCCTGAATTCCTCCTGAATTCACACCCTTGCAGGGAACATGATTAATGCAAATTTTGCCTTCCCTGCAGTCAGTCCTGTTCCAAGTGTTTGCCAGGCTAGCAGGAATAAGATTTGTGCTTTCCTTTTTTTGTAGCTCTAATCTATCATAACTATCATAATTCCATATAAACACACTGTTCTCTTTTACTAAAACGTGCAATTACAAATAAAATAGATGACAGTAAATATCCAGATTCCCCAACTCTTGCACCCTTCAGTGATGAAGGTATACTTCCATTAATTTTCTAAGTTGCCCATCTTAACCTTCAAATTTCCACAATGCGAGAGTTGTACAAAATTCGTAACAAATTACCAGAACAGTTGACATGGAATATTCATTATTGTGGTCCAAATGGCAGTTCCCGTCATTAGGAATAACAATCCCTGCCAGTTTACTGTCCATCCCAAAATGAGAATCAGCATCACTCACAAACACCAGCAAATGTAGAGAATCATTCCTCCATCCAATTTTTTCCTGTAATTTAAAATACAGTAGTTTATCAGGCTGTATTGCACTCACAATATAGAAAAGCAGCAAAAGATATGAAGAACAGCATCTCAAAATAAATGAATGAAGGGAATAATTTTAAAGAGAGTGTCCGAACACCTCTTTTAAGAGATTATGTTCATTCTGTTGTCTTTGGCTAACATTTTGTCTCCTTATTCCTGTGTTTAATAACATAGGCTGGCCGTGTTCATGTCAATCTGCTCAGTACTCTAAACATAGTTAATCAAAAATAGTTAAAGAAAAAACATTCAGGAAAACAAACTCAGTAATTATACAGTTATTTTTGATATTTTTTTTTTTACCCCTGGCAATTAAAAAGAAGCACTAAAATATTGCAATATGCATGTTTAACTTGATACAGCCAAAATTATTTTCACACAAATTTAATGAGGCTCTTGGACTGCATTAAAAAATCTTGAAAAATAATTATCTGCTTCTTTGAAATATAACCATATAATACTAGAAGTGTACTACAGAGAATAATTAATATTATACCTAGAAGTTTCAATTACCTTGCAAACAGCTGCCTGCATAATTGCATCAAATCCTCCCTCTGGAGTGTCTATATTAGCAGATATTCGCTGTCCTTTCACAATTTCATTGAATTTTTCAGCATCGTTTGTTAGTGGCAAAACATGTTTGTATCCAAAGGTGGGCAAGCACTCATATGGCACACTTCTACAAGATAAGTGAGACAGTTTATGGAGAAGAGAAGCCTCCAGGGAGACCTTGTATCAGCTTTCCAATACAGGAGAGATGGGGAGATATTGCTATGCTCCCTGATAAAGAGTAAGACAAGGGGTAATGGTTTTAAACTGAACAAGGGTAGATTTAGGTTAGATATCAGGAAGAAATTCTTTACAGTGAGGGTGGTGAGACACTGGAACAGGTTGCCCAGAGAAGTTGTGGGTGCCCCATCCCTGGAGGTGTTCAAGGCCAGGCTGGATGGGGCTTTGAGCAACATGGTCTGGTGGGAGGTGTCCCTGCCCATGGCAGGGGGGTTGGAACTCGATGATCTTTAAGCTCCCTTCCAACACAAACCATTCTATGATTCTATAATACAGAGTGACAGATCACTCCAATGGCTACTTTGCAGGCCTGTCTGCATTGGTGGTTTTGTTCATGTATCTCTGTGTCTGAGATAAATCTAGTGAAAAACGTAAGAGAATCATAGAGCATCCAGAGGGGTGGGCAATGCAACCAGGGCTGTATAAAGCCTCTGAAACGCCTCTTAGAGCAGAGTAGTTCAGCCAGTTAACAACACACAGTCCTTGCCGTGCTCCCTGCTGTGCCTTGTTTTCATACTCAGAAGCACATTAGGATCTGTAGTTCCTTAATGAGGCTGAGAGAGCACCACCAAGCTGCTGCAGTCCTGCTTCAGGCTACAGAGCGCAGCTTCTCCTCCACATTGGTTAGGAAAGGGCTAGGGCAGCCTGGGTTTGGGGGATTACGGGATACAGCTAGACCTTGAGGGGGGAAAAAACCCAGGAAAACAACAGTGATGGGTACATAAAACTGCTAATCTGTGTTGGGTTTGAGTTTGTACCTGCTTGGTATCGTAATGTCATAAAATTCTTGTATATATGTATATTCTAGCAAATCAAAGAAAAATACGCTATTATTCTGCACACCTGTTTGTTAATCCACTAACATTAATTAGCAGCAAAAGCTAAAAAGCAGAATCACTCCCAGACTATTCTCTCCAAACAATACTAAAACTGAACCGAGTAATTATCAGAGTGTGAAACTAAAAGAAACTAAAATGAAAAAAAGAAGTTTTGCAAACTGACTCAGTCACAGCTGGAAGAGGGCAGAGGTTCCAGTGAGGCTGCTGAACTCAATTTTATCCTAAAGATTAATATTATGACTTAATGTTGGTATTTTCCCTGCCTACCTGCAAGGGTTGTTTATTTCTTCAGCTGTAGTTTTGATAAACGGTGAAACTGGTTTTTCAACAAAAGATCCGAACCCCAGTCTGAAGTTGCTTGTCAGTTTTGACATTTCTTTGGAAAGAGTTGAACCCAGTTCTTTAATTGTATTCAGATCATCATCCATGGATGCTGAAAGATCCATCAAGTAATAGAGATCAATTGGATAATCTTCAGTTTGGCGGACCTTGATCTGTATTGTTTCTTCATGTCCTATGAAGGTTGTGAGGAAACAGGATACATATCAGCACTTCTAAATAGAAGTTATGAGAAACAGCAAGTTGTTCATAAACTTATATATATGGTGAAAGTTAAGTAGTATTTAAAATCATCAGTAGAATTTAAAAAAAAAAATACCAAAAATTCTCAGTCAACTAAAATCTCAAACAGAAAGTTTGAAAAATTTAAAGCAGTTCTAGTGTTTTTTCTAAACTGTTTCTCAGTAAAGCTGTAACCACAGATTTACAACTGATTGCTGTAATTTAAAAAATGTGCACATCACTTTGACACTCTGCAGCTTTAGAAAATTTACATAAGAAGTGCTACTTTTAATTACCTTATGGGACATACCACCTACATTAGAAATTTAAGGAGAACCAGAGTGTACACGTAGGTTTTATTCTTAGTTCCGACACTATGATACAACCTAACTGGGTGTCTCTTACATTTCTTTATTCCAGTTTTTCTGCCAGGAAAAATCCACATCTCAAGGACCCCAAAGTAGTCCTGGAGTGTTTCCATAAATGTCACTGGTACCTTGTAAATCCTCAAAGCTAGATTTTATGCTGCCTCTGAGATACGTTTTTTGCCAGACCTGCAGGGGAGAGGCACAGGAGCAGGGCTAGAGAGGTGGGGGGGGCCTGAGGGGGGTGAGTGTATTCCACGCTCTCCCTGCCACCTCAGTGGCAAGAAAACAGAACTAGTAAAAATATATATCCTTACTTTTTTTGATGTACCCAGTAATTCTGAAAGTATTTTGAAGTCAGTTGAACCTAGTCTGCATCTGATGAGTCAACAGATAATTTTGGACTCAATACAGGTTTTTTTATCTTTATTCTGTCAAGACCTTTTTTGGCCCATTCAGTCTAAGAATATATATCACATTGAGTGAAAAAAAAAATATCCCACATCTATGAACTGGGTGACTTACCTGGTCGCAGCCTGAGAGTTAATTTTTGAGGAGAAATCTGTGTGACATCAGAATTGTTCTTCTGGGCCGCTACAGTTAGGGGCTTGTTTCTGTGAATTTCTACTTCTGAAATGGGAAATTCAATCAAATTCAGCTGGCATCCTTTCGACAAAAGGTTTTCTGGGGTATCACACCTCCCATGAATTCCAGCCGAGTCCGTGTAATTCTAAAGCAAACAGGAGAAGGAAGGGTTGAGTTAAATGTATTTACTGACCAGCCACCAGCACCTGCCTGACAAAAGGTCAATCCAATGCAGGGAACAGAAACAAAGATGCAAGTTAGTGCAAACTAGTGCAGAAAGAGATCTAGGTGGCACAGAAATCTAAATTTGCCCTTCGTGGATCATGTCACACGGGTGTATAATTAATGTAACTTACACCGATTTGGTATCCTGGGAGAAACTGCTCTATTGTTGGGGAATGGGAATTGTGCCACTCGCTGCATTTGGCTTCTCACAGCACTGGGAATGATAACACAGAGCCCCTAGGAGCCCCTGGTTTTCCTATTACAGGATTATGCTGCAAATTCATCAGTCTTTCCTAAACAGTTTTGAACTCCTGATGGAAAAACATCATTTAACAACAGAAGAGGTCTTGCAGATAATAAACTCCTACGAATTTTGTGACAAACTGACAGTCAGGTACACAGTGGGTTTTTTTCTGACCTACACTTTCTCCTCAACACTCATTTAACATGTTCACTGAAGCAGGTAGCAAGTCCTTGTTACTCTGCCTGGTGCCCAACAAGCACCAGAGCCTCCTTCCTTTGCTCCCCAGCACCAGTGGGGCCCCTGGCATGCCCACCTCTATCTGGTTACGTTTCGCCCAGCATCCTATTTGACCTTCCATCTGGAGAAAATCACAAGCCTATCGGTATCAGTTGGATAGCCTGCAGTTTGTTTTCATTACTCATTTCAAAGGACTTGATATGTATTCCTTTCCACGACACTGCTGCAGGGTAGGTACTACCCCCACGTAGCAGTGAAGTTAATGGTTAGTTATACAAAGAGACTTCTGTGCCTTATTACTATTTCTTCAAGCGATGACTAGAGTTTAAATCCTCAAAATCAGTCAGCTGCCTCCTGAACTGGAAACTGCTCTGGCCTGCAACACCTTTTGACCAAAACCTTGGCGATCCCTGGCAGAACTGGTACTGAAACATTCAATTCCTGGCTGGTGGTCATGGGCCCATACCATAGGGCCACTCTTTTCTCCTGGGTTTGGGTAAGTAACCTGGGGCTCAGCCACTAAGCCACAAATATTATCTGAATTCAATCACTGAAAAAGTTTCCATGCAAAGCAAAACAAATTTACTTTAAACCTATTAAACCATAACTGGGACTCTTCTTTCCACCAAAATGTAACCCTTCATGCCTGAAAATTATCAGGAGGGATCTTATATCTTTTGGTGGAAGCAGTGCTGAGACACCTGATGGAAACATTGGTTTATTATTCTTCAGACTGAATCTGATGTCCTTGCTCAAGCAAAACTCTCAGCAACTGCTTCTTGAATACAGTGTGCATAAAAATCATGTACCATTATAAAATCTTCACAGGGAGATCCATATCATCTCCTTTAGTTACACACTTTCAGTTGCTGGCTGAAGAGGTAAACTCATATTTCAAATACAAGGTCTGGTTTTATGCTACAGAAAACAGTGGTTTCTTTGGAGGCACTTGAGTTTACTCTGTCACCAAAGATCCTATGTCTTTTGCTCTCTTGATGTGTTGTTCTCTAACAAACAAGTCAATAAGCTTATGAACAAAGAAAAAAATCATTTACTACTATGAAGTTTTCAATAGTTTCACAGGTGTTTTAAAAAAAAAAATCAATAAATTGTGTTTCATTTTTGTTTTCTGAAAATACACGGCACTAGTCAAAAATACATGATCAAATTTAATTTCCAGAAAATCCTGTTTTGATTGTTAAGTACAACCATAAAAACTACTGCAAACACACTAACGTGGGTGAGTTTTTTTCCCCATGGTAACAATTTGTGCAAACTGTTTTATTATTTTTAGCAAACTTATTTTTTTAAAAATTGCTGTTTGGTCTTTGTCAGCTACTGCATAAAGCAGTATGTTAGTTCCATACTAGGTATCATTTTGCTATTCAAAAAAAGGAAGAACTACTTTCAACAGCAAAGGTGTAAATCAAACTATCACGGAAGAGACTTATTTTATTTCTGTATTTTTTCTGGCAAGTTTTTGATTGTGATAGCTGATTATCTTTCTAACATTAATGAACTAAGACCTAGAATATTTAGTGTGAAATGGGAAGATATTATTTAGTATCATTTACAGGTGACAGTTTTAGAAGCAGAGATGTTAAGTGACTTGCCTGGGGTTACGCAGAAAGACCACAGCAAATATATATGAAACAAATCCAGATTATTTTTTATTTTTTTTCAAGCCCAGCGTTTCAGCCATAACACACCTATATCATACTAATCGTAAAACTGACACTATCGTCATACTTAAAATCAAACACATATTAATCATTTGTGTATGCAAACTGACTGGAGCACCCTCTGTTTACACTGTCTGGCTTGGCGTGTAACATGTAAGATGCAGTCTGGTCTCTGACTAGATGTCTGGTGCTTCATCATCAGCGCCGTGGGCGAGTCAGCCCTGAGGCTGATGACCTGAGCCCCTCTAATAGCACTTTTATTTCTGCCTTAGATGAGGAAGGTTGTTTTTATAAAGAAACCAAAACCAACAATGAATAATAGACCTTAAAGTCTAGATCGAATTCCACTTTTGATCCCCAGGAAGGCTTCACTAAGCACTGCATGCATTACAAAACCACCGGCTGACCCAATTAAGTCAATACCTCATCACTCAGAGCTACTACAAACACTTCAAGTCATACTTTGAAATTTTTTTACTCTACCTCTTGAAAACACCAAGCGCAGTGTGGTCCGGAAAGCAAACAATCTTCACAAGTCACTGCGCCTTCCTGAGTACAGGTCCCTAAATTTAAATGCAAGAAGATAAAAGACTATTAATAATGTGTTTAATCACTCAATGTATGAAGATTCTTGTCATTTAGGGAACGTGGGAGGTAAAAAATGCACGCATGTATCCGTATTTAGTATTACTGATAAAATTCCTTCATAATGGTATTTCTATTGGTAGAAGATTAACTTTCAAATAAAAATGAAAACCCCACAGTTACTGGCAATTAACATACTGACTTTTGCATGCTTTATAGATGGCATTCACTGAGAATGTTACTTGTTTTCTCCAGTGCACCTGATAAAGCGTTACACGTGTTTCTGCTGGTACAGGTAAGACATTCCCAACAGAACCAAGGATATTACAAGAACAGATTTATGTTCACTCTATATGCTTAAAATTGCTTCACTCAGGTCTCTAGATATGATTTTAATGTATTGTGCAGGTGCCAGTGAAACACTCAGTCACACATATAGTATTAAAGTTTCTCAGCGGATGAAACAGTGATTAGTACAACCAAAATTGCTCAAACACCCGTCTCTTTCATACATGTTGTGCTATATAATGACCACATAAATCTTAAATGAATTTGCAGGGTAGCCCTACAGCAGTCTGTCAAAAGAAAAAAAAGTCATTAAACAGAAAGGAATGATTAAATACTGAAGACAGAAAGCTATTTCATATCAACTTCAAGCAAGAAACAACGTAAAAATTATTTTGTAATGGATCTCGCTACCCCTGAGCCTTACCTTGCACACAGTTATTTCTTTGCAGAAATAGGAAACAGAGGCAAAGCAATTCAATCCCCATTCGTTTTCAGTGCTGGCTGCGTGACAAAAAAATATTAGCGTGTTAGTTATTGTCAGCGTAAAGGTAGAATGTCGTAAAATTCATACATTCCCAGAGGGTACGTTGTCAGATGTCACCTACACCAGATTGCGAGGAAACTTCAACCCCACCGGGACAGACCATGAATAAAAGTGAAAACAACGGCTACCTGGGCAGGTAAAGAGGACAAGCTGTGCATAAAGTAACGTGAACATGGTTATCACTTCCTTGTTTTCCTAGACTCCTTATAAGGTATAAGGGGAAAATTCATTCAGGTGAAGATTTCTGTCAATCCCAGTCGCTCTGGGTCCTAGAGCAACCCAGCCACAAGAGTGAGATTTTTTGCGTACAGCAACTTAAGGCTACTTTAAAATAATGCCTTTAATCATTCCCTGGGGAACTGCTTTAGGCAGACAGGTCATAAGATTGCCAAGTGAGTATACCTGGAGAGATGTATAAATCCCATTTTTTCAGATTTCTTGATGTGGAAGGAAATTAGTAAAGGCAACTGTGGGGAAAAAAGAAAAAAAAAAAGCAATCATTTATGAGAACTGAGGATCTGGCTTCAGTAATTCAAACTACAGAGTACATTTATTTTATTAATATTGCAAACTGAAAAAGAAATGCTGCAGTTGGGGATTTTTTAATATGTAGAAGGAGGAATAATTGCATTCTCAGTTCTGCAACTGACTTGGAGAAAAAAAATTATGTCAGCTTTAACTCTGTGTAATAAGTGGCCAAATACTCCACAGCACAGATACAACAATATGACAAGTTATTGCTATCTCTTTTTTTTCCCCCCACCGGGATTGAAGGCAAAATATGCATTTCTTATAACCTTATTAAAGGAAATAAAATTTCTTATTTGTAGATTTCATCTCTTCCCATCTTTTATGCTCTGCTATTTTCTGTTTTGAAAATGCGTTGTTCAGGACAAGCCATCTCTTATCATAAGGGTTTGCAACCAACTCTACACAGTGCAGAATAAAATGATAATTTCATCAGTTGTGTTGCTGGCCTGAAAACTTATATCCTTTTTTTTTTTCTACAGTCAGAAATCCTACCAAAGCTAGCTCATAAAGACTAGGTTGTTCTCACCAAGAGAACTGCTAGGATCAGACCTCCTTTTCACACTGGTGGAAGCTGCAATGTTGGGGCAGGATGTGATGATAGGGATGGGTCTATACTAGTTAAACTCAACATGCCTGGAAACATTCCTGCGCATTGAGGCCAACTGGCACAGAAATACCTGAGTTTACGCTTGCAAATTGTCTATTGGGACCATTCTAGAAACCAAATTGCGCCCAGAAATTGTTTGCAGAGAGTGTTAATTGGAAGAGGTCAAATTCATGTCAGGGAGCATTTTAACAGTTAATAGCATAGACGATTTCATTCTAATGCCTGGAAATATTTCCAGGCACATCCTATTTTACTCGTATTTGCACAGTCTATGGGTAGTTTCATAGCAGCTCGAGCTAGGTTACGTCAGGCCAACCTTTGCCCTGCCCTTGTGATCCCACCCCTTCACTCCTAGCAGTACTCATGTCCAAACAAACGCTGAGCTGACTCCAGCTGATCCAGTTATAATCCAACCAGCTTCCATGGGGAAGGTGGGGGGCTACTTTTCACCTGGGTGGCTCACTTGGATCATGTGGCTGCCCAGTCCCAAGCAAGTGCCAGGTCAAGGGAGGGAGCAGGAAAGACGGGGACAGTTAGCAGGAAGGGTGGGAATACACTAGACCAAATTTAGACCAGTTTAGGCTGTTGCTGAACCATATCTAACATTTCTATTAACAACAACGCTCCTAAGCCTCCTTCAACTGCTTTCTCTACTTTGGAGTGCCCTTTGTAAGGCACTTGTTCAGCTACAGCAATTTCCCGTGGCGTGAAAAAAGCATCAATTGGATTATGCTCCCTCAGGTGGTGAAGGCACAGCTCTGTGAAGACACTGTCTGTAACTAAGGTCAAAAAGAAGTGGAGTCAACTGAAAATGCTTGCTCATGCTCAGAAAAAAAATCCTTGTGTAAGTGCCATCCAACACATCTTATTTCCCTGGGTTTAATTTACATTTGTGTATGTGTCCTTTAATATTGTTGCTGTGTCTACAGCTTTGCAGAGCTCCAAAACCCATTGCTTTCCCTTTCAAAGTAGTGTAGCCCTTAGTAGCACCTGGTAATATAATAACACTTCAAAGCACGTGTTCAAAGGACTTGGTGGCTGCTCTTCATCCACAAAAAGGTACCAGACACTAGTAGTGTCACAGATTAAGGACCAACCAACTGAACAGCTGGCAATCAGCAAACATTTATTCTTAGATTCAAGATATCAAACTTCTAGTGTAGAGAGAATGAATAATACCGCCCACATAAAACTTACCAATTCTGTTTTGATATTATCAGTTCCCCATTTGCTTGTGTGATAATATTTTATATAGGTCTTGGTAAGGACAACATGAATGGAGGCTAAGTGTCTGCCTCTGAATGGGATGACTGCTGAAGACTGTCTGAATAAGTCTTTCCTGAATAAAATAAATAAGTTTCTGCAAATTATTAAGAACAGACCTCAGATTTTCTGGAGAGCGCAGAGAAGAAAAAGAAAGTAGCAGGACAAACAACAACAAAACACAGGGAAAAAAGAGAGAAAAAATCAATGTCAGTTTTGATTTTAAAAAATTCACACAAGAAGCAGCTCACAAGACTGAATAGAGTGGGAATAAACCTCAGTGACAAGGACACAGGAGGTTAAGAGAGGTCCAGGAAGGGAGACAGCAGGTAACAAGAGTAGATCTTGGGCAAGGCAAGAAAACCTAGGCAGGAAGATTCTTGTTTTGAAATGTCACCAAATATCTTGTGTAATATCTGAAGGTAAGTTGACCAGGAAATTCCCTTACTAATTTAATGCTTTATTGTCTTGAACTATCACACATACTAGAAGAGCAGAGTCACAATCTGGAGCAGCCACGCTGATGTGGGGAGGATGTGTACAAGTCTTTGGGGTCCTGGCATTGCTTGGTTTGATAGCAAGGTTCCCCTTATTTATAAGGTGTGTAAGACAGAATCTTGTTTTATTCACCCAAGTTAAAGGCATCAATTCAATGAGACATAAGAAAAAAGGTGGTTTATAGTACAGACAGAAAGCAATCATTGTTGTTTTCATCAGCCACTACATACTCATTTTGGAGCAAATTCTGGTCTCAATTAAATCAGCGTTACAGCTTTATAACAACACATCAGAACAGAAAACAGCTGTTTATCTTTCAATATGGGCAATGCTGAACAATGCAAGTCTGTGGTTCTTCAAGAGATAATAAAATTTGTTTAGGATAAAATCTTTAGTGAATTTTCCCCCACACCTGGCACTTACAATACATGAAGAGAGCACAGAAAGATATTCTGTTCATCCAATCCACTTTTAACAAATTCATGGCAAGTAACAATCACTGAATATCAAGGTAGAGAAAGCAAGCAAGCTAATGTTTGGAACAGGAAATAAGAAATAAACTAAAACCACAGATTTAGACTCGAGTTGCATTTCACTAATAGTGGGCTTTCTTTTTCTCTAGAACAACGGTGTATCTTTTCTAGCTCACTGAGCTAAGTCCTCAAGTCAGCCTGGTGATGGGTCTGTAAAGGTCCCTGTAAGGGAAATGTTTGCCTACAGGAGCATGCCTCACCATTGGCCCATTCAAATGTAAAAACTACTTCATTTTCAAAAAATACCAGCCTCTCCTGCAAATAGGGTATGAACTGATATAGCATAATTACACATACAGGGAGACCAGCCCAAGATAAAACAACAATTAATTCCTTTTCTGCTAGACAAAACCTGGAAGAGGAGGCACAGTAGCTCCAAGGAAAGCTTGTCAGTCAACATAAGAGATCAGAATGTCCCATGCTCATCAGAGCAAGGAAAATCGCTTTTAATTAGAAGCTGAAGAGCTATCCATATAGAGGAGAAATTCTTGTAAACAATCCTTTGGCCTCACACATGACCCAGCTCTTAATCCCCAATGCACTTCTTATACACACTCTCGCCCTGAAAGCCTGGAAAAATCCCAGAGTAATTTAAAGTCTGAACGTCCCACAAGCTGAGACAGTCCTCAGAATATTTAGAAATGCAAGGGGAAGTGTCTCTTGCACTTCAGTAAACATTTTTCTTTTCTTGCCCTTCATCAGAGAGTTTTGTGGGACTGGAAGCTGTGAGGTGGGGTCTTCCTTCTCTCCAGCATGCACAGTGACACTCACCTCCTCATTGCATCTGTAAGAGGCAAAGGGCTACAATCCTTAGGTCAGAGGCAGGTTGCTTTGCATTTGAAACATCTGGTGACCTTATTCTCTCCCTGGCTGGCTTCCAAATCTGTCTGAAAAGCTCCTGTTGCTCTCTAACGGGGAATCAAAGTAGATTTTAAAAGTTTGGATCAAACTTTTAAAACAGAAAGATAGCAACTGAAGAATACGCAAAAGTATACAGAAGGAGTGGTTAAAATCCTTTTCTCCAAAAGAAGACATTTTCTGTAGAGCCACTGTCAAATGCTTCTGGACTCTTGGGCAGCAGAAATGGAAGGCATTTTCTTCGGAAAAAGTCTGCTCAGAAATATATCCCTCATCAGCCTGACAGACCCAGTTCCAAGGAACTTCAGAGGATGCCTGTCAATTAGCTAAACAACAAAGCCTGGAAAAAAGTTTCTAAGTGTGAAACTTCGATTAATCTCTAAGGAACTAGAAGTGATTTGAGTAGCCACGTAGCAGCATGGATGTCCTGCAAACAGGACAGTGCGGCACAGACAGAAACCATACACAAATAGTGCAATGATGCTGGAAGGACTGTCCTGTCTCTGCCTTTGCTGCAGCATAGATCCTGGCAATATTTTAAAGACAGCTGGCAAAAGCATTTAAAGCGGAAGAAACAATCCCTAATGAAAAGTTACACTTAACAGAGAAATTCCCAGTGATGGTGAATGTGACTACTCAGTAATTTTTACTCTTTTTTTTTTTACTTGAATTTTTTTCTCTATATAAACCTATAGTGTCACCTATCAAATCGCCATGTAAAATAAACAAATGCATCTGGATTTATACATTTTAAATGCTACTTGATACAACTTACTATCTCTTTCTTTGTTAATCACCAAGGTGAGAGATGGGCATCGCTCCAGCAGAAAATGGCATTGGTCCAATGAAACCACCATAAGCATTCAGGTGCTGTACAAATGACATGGAGCCTGCGGTAAACAAAAATCTGAATGCGTAGTGATTGAGCTGCTTCACTCCAGCTCCTGTGTTTCGGGGTGTATTAATATCACACCCCATTAAGGACCACAAAACGGCTGTGTAGGGTAGCCCACAGAGCCCACCTGAGATGTGGGCAGGTGTGTAGAAAGGCAAAGCCCTTTCTTACTCTCCTCTCCAGGTGTTTTTGCTACACACAACGGACAGTGGCTTTAGAAGAAGATGAGAGGTGTCTGTAGCTCTTTCCAGCAGGTTGTGGGAAGTGAAGCACCACACAGAA